GCAATTAAGACATTTAAATTCGCCTTGGCATTACTAGCCCATCTAGATATCTTAGACATTAACGACTGACGAGTAAGAGCTGTCAAAAATAAGTCGGTGTCGCTCTCTAAGATATTTTCGCTCTCTCCGTAATAAATTACGAAATGAGTTATTAAAATAGGTCAATCTTACCGGTTTATCTCGATAACCAAGAAAAGCGTCGGGCCGAAAGTCTTCCGTAGCTTTAGAGAGTAGCCTACGACCCGCGTACTATATATATATGGCTCTCTACATCGATAAAATTTTCCGCGCGACCCTAAGAGCCCTAGGCTACCCTGGGCTATTAAGGTAAGTCTACGTCTTACGTAGCCTATGAGACCGCTGGGCTCGCTGAGCTACTCTAAGAGAGCCCTAGGCTAATATAATAGTTTATAACTTTACGAATATATAATGTAATAAGGTAAGGTGGCTGTGCTGTGATGGGCTGTGCTGGGCTAATAGAGCGGTGGTAGGGTGAAAAAGTTATCTAGTCACATGTCAAACCTAAATGGGCTGGTAGAGAGGGGGTGCAGAATAGTTTATAGTGCTGGTAGTGTGCCATTTATTAGATTGAGCAGAGTATCATGAATTCTATGGCTTTTTGGCGCTGTCTACCTCTATTCTTGAGTGTTTTTTTCAGTCCTATTCTGTTCCTCGATGCTCCCGCTGTGCTAGGTGTTCGTAGCTCTAGCCGCTGCCCCTCTGGGTGGTGTTGGTGGTGATATTGTCTTGTCAGTATCAACTAGAAACGCGTTCTCGATTCCCGATCTACTGAACGGGCCTCTGTGCGTTGTTATACGTATACGCCGAACCCTAAAGTACTCTATTACACTATGTAAGGGGAGGGAGTGTATCTATATACTTATGTAAGCCTTTCGAATAAAGTAATATAAAATGGTCTATTAGTATATTGATATACTTCAGTTCAACATATCACCATATCAGCTTCTTTCTATTCTAGACATTACGTAACCCGTTTAGCCTTGCTCTTTATCTTAGTTCTTAGACTCATTGGCTTAGTTACCATAAGTAGGTAGGGCCCACTATTTTACTTCATAAAATATCTTCGCGAGAAGAGTCTAAGCTCTAATACGTAGTTTTAGAGTAGAAAAGCGTTCGTAGTCTTAGTAAAATACGCGAAGAGTCTATATATTAAATTAACGTTCACTCCGTTCTTTAAATAACTATCGAACGATTAGTCTAAATAAAAAACTTTCTATATATAAATTATTCTAAATTTAATTCTTATAAATCTACTTATTTAGATTTTTAATATCTCTAATACTTACTAAAATATTTAGGAAAAACTACTTTTTAAGCTTTATTTCTCTATCTTTAAAGTTAAATAACTTTATAAAAAAATTATTTACTTACTCTAGTTAGTATAGATTAATAGAGAGTCTTTAGTTCTATATATATAGAAACTTTTAGTTAAATTAAAGATATATAGATAGAGATATAATTAATTAAAGTTATAATCTATAGAAAATCTAAGACTTTTAAAAATTAAGGTGTCGCTAAGACTCTTAGCTATTTATCTAGGAAGATTAAACGATAAATATTTAAAAAGACGAAGTAATTACTAAAACTATCTATATAATCGCTTACTAAGAACGTTATTTAAATAGTCCAAACGAAATCTAGGTTATTTTCACGTATCTAGTCTTAGACTCGTTTATCGTAACATTCTTTTGAATTTTGTGATTAGCCGGCGCTTTAGCTTACCTAGCTAATTAGGGCGTAGCCCCGATACCGGGTCTAAGGACTGAGATAACTTACTCTTAAGACTACTTTATGTTCGGTTGAGTTTCCTTCCTTACGCGTACACGTGCCTTTCGTGACTCCTCAAGGCTATCTAACAACGGTGACGTACAGGACGTTTTAACACCCTGAGATATCAGATAGTGGTGTAAAAGGATGCCTATTATAATTTAGAATAGCGATATTAAACGGCGTTCCCCAGAGTGCTCACCAGTCTCGTACGTCGGTGTCTTCCCGGACACCATAGCCGTCACCTTTAGGTGCTTTGACATTATCCCTCTTCCCTGCTGCCACCGCTACCACTCGGCGTTGTCCGGGTGGATTGTTTGGAGCGGAAGAAGAGAGGTATATACCCAGAAGAGACACAGCAGCACCAGACGTCCGCGGTGATCATTTACAATTGGTGTGTTTCTGCTCACTGTCGGGAAGAGAACAGCCAGGAATGTGCTGTTGGTGCCAGCAAGACAACCTGGATCAGAGAACACTTAATCATCTCCATGAACCCGCAGCTATCCGCCAGTTGGGCTTAGGCGGCGGGAATGAGGTGAGCGAAGTTCGTCTTCGCGACCTTGGAGTGGTGGCCCGACGAAGCGCTGTCATTGCTGGCCTCCAATTGGAACGAATCTTGTTGCCGAAGATGGATCATTTATCACTGCGGGCTGAAAATGTTCTTGGTGAATATTGTTTTTAATTGAGAGGCTCCATGTTTGAGAAGCTTCGGGATCGTGAGGAAGAGAATTCCATGATCAAGAGGAAGGGGCTACAGATTCCATATCAAGAGGAAGAGCTGTTTCTCTTTCTCAACCTTGGCATGTCATCGTCATCAGGAGAAGACTCCTTGTTGTTGCTCGCTTTCTGCTCCTCGCTGCTGCCGCCTGACAATTGGACTTGGCCCTGTCCTGGTGTTTCTTCTCTTCAATGAAGGAGTCATAGTCCTCCAAGGACGAAGTGGACGCTTGATTGAGGCGGGAGCAACAGGATTCTCTTGCTTTGCAATGAGTGAGGAGGAATTCAACCTCTCGGAAGACAGCCAACCAGACACGCTTAGACTCAGGCATATGACGTACGTGTTGCGAGCGGATTTCGACATTCTCGCGGCAGAAGGAGACTTGTGGTTGGCTATCAATCTAGACCGTGAAAGCCGGTGGATGGACTGGATCTGGAACAAGGATTTCGTTCGCATGCCTGCAGACTGGAGAAGCGCTGACAGACTGGATAGACTGAGAGGCACACACAACGCAGGTCATGCCGCATCGCGCAGAGGTTGGTTGAGCAATAGGATGGGGAGTCAGTATTGGTAGAATCAAGTATGACGGGGAGAACGCAATGGGTGTATAGCCAGGCATGTCATATCGCCTCGGCTTCATGATCAAGTGGAAGAAGAGCCTTCGTGGTGGCTCAAGAGGAAGAACATTCGTGATCAAGAGGAAGGGCTTAGGAGGCGATGCCGATGAGAAAGGATTCGCAGCCTCTTCGGGGCTTTGAGTGATGACTAATTGGATTATATCTGCTGGATTGTAGACGTCGTGTAGCTTTGACGCAGAGAAGGATGTAGTCGAAGGCTGCCTGCTTGGTCGGTTGCTCTTCGGGGCTTTGGACGACATATCGGGGCTTAAATCTTTCATTTCCGTATAGGGAGGATCTGCTTGATAACGTTGCTCCAATTCCCCTTGCCCATATTAGAATCACGTCGTAGGTGTTGGTGGCCTACAGCCGCGATGACAAGAAGTGCCTTCGTCATCGAGAGAAAGAGGAAGAGCCATCGTGGTCAAAAGGGAGGAGGGAGAAATCATGGTCAAGAGGAAGAGGAAGACCCTCCGTGATCATCAAGAGGAAGGGTCTTTGTGGTCAGAGAAAAAGGCTTCATGAGGCCTGGAGAGCAGACTTGGTGTTCCGGTATCGCGCAGGCAGCAGCGAGGGCAGTGGCAACTGTTCGTATTCTTCGAACACAGCGCATTCGCATGATTTCAGGGAGTCATGCCTGCCTTGACACCCGAACACGCCATTCTCTTGAAGTTCTGAACCGTCTCTTAACGTGGTCGTCCGGAGAAAGCTGTTGTCTTGTTCCCTGCTCTGCAGAGTATGTGTACCAAGTTCTTCCAGATGTGTCCTCTTCAGGGTGTTCCCTGCTCTTCCAGGATCTTTTTCCTTGCTCTTCAAGGCATGTATGTATTCTTTGCTCTTGGAAGTATTTGTTCCCTGCTCTTCAGGGTATATATTCCGGCTGTTCAAGGTTAGAGATGTCTGCGTCTTTGCACGGATTGACAAGTGAGAATCTTCCATGCAAGGCTTGTGTCAAGGATGCTGACGATGCGAGAGAGGACCATGAAAGGAGAAGAGCATGGGCAAGAGGAGGAAGCAGACAAGGGCGGAGAGGAAGGAGAGGGAGAAGGACGAAGCACCCAGGAGGAATTGCAGTTGTGTTGAAGCCGTCTATTCCAGCCAGATGCGGTGGATGTGCATTCAACCATGATGCAATGCTGGTGGAGGACGTGGCAGCACTGAGCCAGACGCGTGACTGCGGAGAAGGAAGACAATGGCAGCTAGGGAAGGGCAGAGATCACGGCTGTGTCTCAAGTCGACAGAGGTAGGGAGGGAGGATCGCAGCTGTGCCTCCAGGAGATGAAGGGGGGGAGGAAGGAGGTCAGGGAGCGGCCATGTGAAGCCACGCACACCAGGGCACGCCATTTATAGACATGAACAGCTTTGAGTGAGCCATTTGCCTGTCCTGTCGTCTGAAAAGCAACTCGGGTGAAAAGTAAATGGGGAAGAGAAATGATCCCGTAGAACAAAGAAAATCACCATTGTGTTGACGATGCCTCCGAAAATTTTGTACGAGCTATCATTTCGGGTGTAGCTGATCGGATATATATTGATCCGATACGATATTAAGCCGAATTGTACAGCTGTTGTTGAATTTAACTTATTCAGCGTGATCCTTGGTGCTATTGACCTCTTTCAATGCCCACATCATCACGCCCAGACATCCAGATGGCGGAAGAGGGGAGCGGAGAGAGTAGAGAGAGGCAGAGAGAGCCAATCGAGGTAAGCATGACACTCCCCATGTGTGCAGCAGCTGCTGAATACATCCAGGGCGACATCCAGTCCTCAGTCGAGCCACCCCGCCTCCCGCGCCCTTTTCGATTCAGAGAACCACCACGGCATGGAGTATGAATATATAATGCAGAAGCATTCCAAGCAGCAGGATTGGGACAACGTACAAAAGAGGCAGAATGCCCCCAGATTCTGAGACGAGCTGGAGCCACCACGCTTGCGGTCAATGGCCTCCTCGTCGACGGCCAGTTTCTCGTCCATGCGGGCTTCGAGCTGGCGCAGTTTGGAGAAGATGCCATTGTCGTGGTGAACGACAGTATTGTTGTACAACTGGGACTCGTCTGACGCCGGGCCGTGTGTGGTGTCGAAGCCCTTCTCGTCGTCAAAGGCCTTGGTGGCTATGGCTGTCGTGGGCTGGAATCTTTTCTCCTTGTCGATGGTCTTTTGCGCGGTCTCTCTTGAGCGAGAAAGGAAGACGACCGCGACAGAGGAGTCGCTTCCCAACCTTGCCAATCTCTCAGTGTATGACTTCGCGACTGTCTTCGATTCGCCGGTGGAAAACTCTGCACATGAGGCCAACAGCTGCCATTGAGCTGCCATGACCACTCACCGCCGGGGGCGACCCAACGTCAAGGTCCGCAAACCCTACCCTTCTTTGGCCGCATGGATATTTCTTTCGCCTGGGACGAAACAAGCAGGTATTCAACAACGCTGGAGGAGATTGATGCAGTCTTTGCCATTGAGTATGGACATCGCAGAAGCCTGATTGCTGACACATCCGATTGAGACACGAGTTGGAGTGAAACCACCAATCTCAGCCAGGTGTGCGTCGTGTGCGGTAGCTGGATGTTGTGCTCAAGCTCCAGCCCAAAGCTTAAAAGGACTCTGGAGAACGATTCTTGACGAGCGGCATCTTGCAATATCACTCGCTCTACCAAACCAGAACAAGGCGGGACCTCTGCGCTGCTTTGGAGAAATGCCATTGCCTCGTCAAGCTGCCCAGGCGACATGGCGCAGGCACTGCGCAGACTCGGAATCTGCAGCGACCATCGAACGAGCCGAGCGGCTGTCGACGGCATTCATTTTGTCGGTGATTCAGCATCCATCCATGCGGGCAGATATCTGCAAGGGCCATTTTTCGTCCTCCTCTTCGCTGCCAACCTCGTCGATAGTTCTTTGGGGGTTTAAGTCGAGGCATCAGAAGCAAGGAAGACACTCGTGTCCCAATCAGGCCCAAGGAACCTGGGCAACAAGCCAGAAGCGAGCGTGATAGGCTCCCAATCGACGGCCCAGGACCAGCGGCCGGCGAATCTAGATTCAAAAATGCAAACCAGAACCCAACAGACACAGTGCAATGTCCACAGCCAGCCAACGCGCAGCCCCTAGTTCAGCCGCGGCGACGTCTAAATCGTGTCAGATGCAACAGTTCACGGCTCAGCTCTGCCAATCATTGTCATCAGGTTCAATCTCCTCCGGGTTGAAGAGAATCATGGAAATTTTGCACTCGACGGCTCGGTCTGGTGGTTATTCTTTGCTGCGATCACGACCTGATCCTGATGGCAACAGTGGATGGAATTGTACTGTATTAGACTATGAACAACACTGAATGAAGCACCCATGCCATGCCTTGAATCTGCTCGATCCTTGAGTCTCGATTTCATAGCCCTGCATTCCAATGCGTTGTGTTGGCAACCCCCCGTGCATGTCCCACTCGCGCACTCTTGCCTGCCTGCGCCTGCACCTTTGCGCATACCGTGTCCTGATCCTCCTTCATGTAGCAACGTAGACACTGAACCACCATACGCTGACCCTACCCCTTCCCCTTCCTCGCAGTCTCCATCCCAAGATATCTCCTCGCTGTTCCATTCCGAACTTCGCCCTTGTGATTGCTATTATTGCTGTGCTGTTAATTCTTGCAATTGCTGGTAGCTGCTTGCGATTGTGAGCCTGGTATGCCTTTCCGCACTCAAAAATCTCCCGCTCACTTCCAATCTGAACTTGTATTGTCTCCGGTCGCACCATATATGGCCTGGCTTGGTCTTTTCACGCGATCTTGATTCTTGACAGGCGTAGCAACGACGTAGTGCCATTGCCCTCTTCACGCGTGGCTGTTGAAGTCATACCAAAACAGGGTGAGGTTGAATAGATCAAAGCCATCCTGAACAACGCGTGGATCGAAACACAAAATGGGCGGAGAGATGCGTGGGTGGAAGTGCAATCCGGCCTCAGAAGATCCGTTGGTACGCCCATATGCCGATTGCTGGTCAGCCGTGACATGTTCAATGGTCAGGTAGTCCATATCGGCTGCATCGTGCTCGCTGTGCTCGTTGTCTGCCACAAGACTGGGAGCGCTGGCAGCGCTGGCTGCACTGCTCAATCCCGCCAATGCGTGCGCCTCATGTGCGGAGTGGTTTTGAGTGCTGTTCGTGATTTGCTCGCTTGTGGCAGGAGATGTAGCCTGTTTTGGCATAGAGTCAGCAAGCCTTGTGTCAACGTCGGGAGAAAGAGAGCTTGATATGGACCATGGGACAGACATACTGATTGCGGCATTGCTGCAAGAGTCAGAGCGCCGCAGCTGCGTGGCGGAGTTTGAGGAGCAGCGGCGGCGGCGGCGGCGGCACCAGCACCAGCAGGTCCACCGCCATTTCCACCACCACCAGCGGCAGCCTGCGGCGTCATCAATCCCTCGCACCAGAGCGTCGCGCAATGGCTGATGACGGGTACGCTGCCGGCGACAGCACTCCACTAGCCCTTGACCTAGCAGTGCTCGACAATGTCACGCAGGGACAGCCTGCACACAGGAGGATACTCAGCGTTCAAAGCGGCCTCGTTGAATTGCGAGATTCGCCCAAGAACCAACTCGCCGCTGCTGTTGACTGTAAACGGCTGATATTGCTGCCATTAAGCATGATCTCTTCCACGCTTATCAACTTTGACATTTTCAACAAGACTAGTTTAGACATTCAGGCCCACTTTGACGGAAACAGCTCAGGAATGATGACACATGTCCAGACACTGTTCAGCATTCTTTGTTCAAACACGCACGGCCCATCTTTGATTTCGCACCCGCCGTTCATGAAATCATCTGCTTTTTTCTTCTTCTATTTCTTTTGCGGAACCATCGTTGCCATGCCTGCTGAACGTCGAATGGGGCTCTTTCGTATAAAAAGGTGGGAGCAGCAATAGCAGAAGTGGCCATCTCGCGGGGGGAAAAAAAAAACCACCAGAACGTACGCAGGACCCAAGCTAACCAAAGCTGACTTCCGAGTGGCTGCAACGATTATCTTCAAGTTTCCTGTGACTTCGACTAGAGTGGCACAAGTTTTTCGGTTGGGGTTGAGGATTGATCAAATTCGCCAACTCTCTGAATAACATCAAAATCAATCTCTGCGACTGCGAAGAAACAACGGACCACTTTCTGCATCCTGGCTCAGACACATCTAATTTCTAGGGCTGGCAAAAACAAGCAGGTGGAATTGGATGAAGAACAAAAGTGAATTGATGCAGTAACGCGGCAGTTCTGCAGAAATCTGCAGGTCCTGCGACGCTGTGAAAATTTGTGCATTTTGCTCCGGACTTTGCTACGTGTTCATATTCACGTGGGACTAAGTGAGATGAGCGCCTGATGCTTCATATGACTTGCAAGAACTTCGACTTCACTACAAGCGGGTCGACTGAAGGTGAAGTGTAATCTTCTTGAAAACTATTATTCAGAAAGGAGGCTGGAATAACACTATCACTCCTAAGGACTGAAAATTCTGTCCAGGTGCGGCAGAATTCACAGTGAGCTCACCCTCACCCCCACCAGACCTTCATTTAAAACTTTTCTCACTTCAACATCCTTGCCCTTTTTCATTTCTCACTCACACTCGTCTGCTTCGATCCGCCTTGTCAGCATCAAAGACATCCGAAAACAATACATTCAGTCCTACAGTGGGTGCGTCCAATGATTGTGTGATCTGTACTGAAGTTGATCAGAAGCTCTTCTAAGATGGAGGGCATTTCCCACCATGTGGCTGAAGCCAATGGTCAACCAAACCCCATCCCAATTGGACTGAGCAAAGAAAAAATCGACATAATGTGGCAGATGAGCATCGCTTCTTTTACTCCAAACAACAACGAATTGGTGATTCCGAACTCTATGGCGACGAAGCTCAGCGAAGAGAACATTGCCGATCTTCAGTCACGTTTCAGGTAAGCATAATGTGACAGAAATTGTTCTGTGCTAACTCGCAGCAGCGCTCATTTCGGCAATGCTCCCGCTACTGTATTTGTTGATCACTTCCAACAAGCCTTTCACATCCGCCTAACTCTTGAGCTCCCTGCCACTGGAACCGGTCAGACCGGCATGAGCAGATCTCTGTCACGGTCAACCTCAAGTCTCTCTCCAGTACCGGCACGTGCACGTTCCCCAAAGGGATCTCCGGTCAAACCGGTTCGCTTGCCCGGAAAGAAGTCAAAAGTGCCTCGTCCACCCAATGCATTCATTCTCTACCGAGTCGAAAACCATCCCAAGCTAAAGGATGAGAGACCGGAATTGACAAATAATCAAATTTCAATCGTCCTTGGAAGGAGATGGAGAAACGAGTCTGAACAAGTTCGAGCACATTTCAAAGATCTAGCAGATAAGATCAAGGCTCGGCACGCTGCAGAGAACCCGGGCTATCAGTATGCGCCACGCAAATCATCTGAGCTGAAGCGACGCATGACTGCGCGTAAGCTCGCTGCTCGTCGCGCTACCAAAGCCCAAACCGATTCGCAATCTAGTTCGGATCTTGAGATGAGAGACGTGACTGAGCTTGCCGATGCTAGTCATCACGACGATATTGCAATGGATGGCACTATCAGCGAGGCCAACGAAGTTGCAAGGTTCTACCAGGACGACGAAGTCATTTCTGCTACGAGCCTCTTGTGCAGTGACCGCACCTCCTACCTGAGTCGCATCAGACACGGCAACAGCGGCACTATGTCTGTCATTCTCCCTGCCGGCCATGATCAAGTTGAGCACGACTACGATACCAAAATGGCAAAGTACATGGAGCACCTCCTCCGATCATATGAGGGACTAGTCGGACCTGACGCAGAAATCAATCTCACCACCCGTCCTGCTCGGTCAAGTCTTGAAGCTGACGACTTCATGAACAGTCTTGTCGACTGGGAAGCGATCAAAGCCGACGCGGACATTGTCCACAACGCAGTTAAGCAAGACCAACTTGAGACCCTGCATTTTGACAGCGAAGACGAGCGTGTCAAGTTTCAGCAAGAGCTTGACCGCATTCTGTGCATGCTGGAGTGAAGAAAAGACAACCTGGACACCGACCTGCGAGCCAGCGATGGTCTTCGTGTCTACATGCAGTCAACTATACGACTGAGGTCACCGCAGTGCTCCGCGTGGACTGCATACTACTGCTTGGTCCAGCCCACCTCACTCCCAACGTTGGCCGGGCAAATCTGCTCAACTCAACACTCACCTCCCTCCCCCAAAAACTTTGGAAAATGACAAAATGGATCGACAAATAAAAAGTGGCGGTGGCGAGTTCCAATTTCTCCTGGTCCACTTGGTGGAGGGGCAGCAAACAGCACAGGCTGCTTTCAACACGGCGCTGCAAGACTTCAGCTGGGAACGGTTTGCTTTGGAAACAGAAAGAGGCATTGCCTGGGCTGGGCATGGGCTGTGCGATAGGAGGACCAATTGTGATTATCGTGTGATTGTTGCGCCAAAGGATTGCGGAGAGCTGAACTGGCACTTGCGAGAGGTAGTTAGACGGGGTAGAACAAAGGCAATGGGAATTGACAGGGCAGACAGGGGGTTGCGAACAGGGAAACATCCAAGGCGTGAAAATGCGTCAGCACAGCGCCTCCAGGGACTAGGAAGACAGATAATTCCACAAATCCATCCGACAATACGTCATCATCTCTATACATTAGACCTCCCATGTCGTCTCCGTATTTTCCATCTCCGCCGCCTCTCTAAGACAACACCGCCTAATTTCCATCCCCCGCAATACGAGGTTTCATTTCCCGCACCCTCAATGCCACCCAGTGCTTGCCCAGCCATCGTTTCCACGTCGTGGTCCCCGAAACACCGACGGGGCGAGTCCAGACCAGCAAACTACGAGGTGTTGCTCTCCGTCTTTGTAATTTCACCGGCCTTGTTTCAGACCCTGCATTGATTGATGCTCGAAAAGGAGTTGCTGAGCTCTTTAACGTGCAAGAAAACCAGGGAAAAAAACTTAGAAGTGAGGCAAACTGGCAGCAGGTGAGCGCAAAAGGATGAATCATGACAGCCTCATTGCGGTTTGGGCGGACTCAAACTCGCTCCTGACCACGCAAATGGCCCGGTTGTTAGCCTCAATCTTTGTCTATACAAGCTCACCTATTGACAGGGTCGCGAGATCGCCACTGTGTGGCAAACCACCTAAGACGCTAGGCGTTTCACCAACTGCGCCACTTACCTCAACACCGTTGTTCTCGTAGACCTGTGATAGGATGGCGACGGAACAGGAGATTTCGGGAATGTTCATCAGATTACAGGCCAAAGTGTATATAAACAGACAGGGTCTCTCTGAAAAGCCAGAGGACAGAACACAATAAAGCAGATGAATCCACTCTCATTCTGTGTACAACAGTACCACTCTCCTTGCTTCGCCCACCACCTCCTCCCTAATCATACCGACCCTGTGGCCGTGATACAAAAGAAAGGTCAATTTGAGCAGAAGTGTGCTGTCCAAATACCCTCAAGCCCATTAGTTGGAGACTGACAACGCTACGGCAGTGTCTACAGGGAAACGCCAACGGAGGCTGTCAGATGACGGATCGTGGATCCGTCCAACATCGCCGCGCCCGGACTTGTTTCAATCTGTCTCAATACCCACTTGCACAATCAATTTAGGCGGTGGCCAACCTCTCAGCCCGCAGACTGTTTTTGACAGAGGTTTTACTGCTCCTTCTTCTGGGCAGATTCACACCTGATAGAATCAGCAACATCTCGCGCAGTTTTCTCCTATCGCATTGTAACAGACTTCACAGAGGAGCTTCCATTCTGCCTCACACGGGTGGTTCTCGTTCCCGAATTCGCAGATCCAAGGTCCAACACAATTGATGCTCATGCCGGTCAAGACACTGTCCAAGTGCGCACCCCTTCCACAATGATCACGGGCCAAACCTCTGCACCTATCGGTCAAGCCATCGCCCAAGCGGGCAGCTCGTCCACAACAATCATGGGCCAAACCTCTGCACATGCCGGACATGGCTTCCCCCAAATGAGTAACTCTTCCACATCGATCGCAGGGCAAAACTCTACGCAGGCTGCTCAAGGACTCTTGCAGCTCGGTTTTTCGTCTGCGACGCTGCCGGGATGAGCTCGGGTTCCCTCATCGGAGTTCAATAGCTCGGGCTCGACGCTTGTGTCAGATACCTCGCTATGCACGCCGGATCATCTCCGAGGTCGACCAGGAATGGCTCCGCGACTCTGGACGCCCCCATCAAAACCCAATGACTCTTCACCACTGGGGAGCCGTTCCTCAAGGTCCAAGGCCCCAACAGGGGTGTTTTGTTCTATGGACCTGAACCCAGAATCCCCCGAGTGCCGGGTGCAATTTCCACAGTCTGATGGCTCGGGGAGGAGCCTGGGATTGGCCGAGGAGATCACCACAGCATGGTCACCGTGCAACGCATAATCAACCCGTTTGGATATCAGGCTGAGTAACAGTAGGGCGGGAGCAAGAGCAACAGCAACCGCAGTGGTGAGCAGAGTACACAGTGGTATGGACAGTGCGGCAACGACAATGCTGGTGACAATTGTAATGGCAATGGGGTGGCGAATAGATGGTATTGTTAGTTCATCCATGACCCAGGACAATCATTCCAAAGCTCTCGTTCTCCCTCAATGAATGCGTGTTGTTGTTGTTGTTGATATGTTGCCCGAAGAGACCCGAAGCTCGCGCACCTAAGTAAAGGCGTGGCAGTGAGGGGAGGAGTCATGACAGTCTTGCCCTGATTGCTCGGAGCCACGGCGCTTTGTTGTCTCAGCGTCGAGTTCCTCATTGCTTGGAGGTATGTGCATCCCCTAGTCGCCCTGCTTCGCTTCCAGCCTCACTTAGAGCCTCGCGCCCCGCCTCATTCTGCCTCAACTCCGCCTCACTCATTCCCGTTGCGCCAGGATATAAACCACAACGCCCCGAGGGAAAGGGTTTTTCTATTGCTTGCCTTGTCTTGGTGATTCCCTGTTTGACCCCTTGCTGGCTTGCAGGTACGGTCATCGTATTGGTGCAATGGTGCATTTATGCATTAATTCCTCGTGTTTTTTGTACATTCCACATATACAACGACGTGGATATATTCCTACCTCTCCCGCCAGCTGCCTTTGGATTTTTTCTTTTCTTGTATTTTTCTCCTCAGGTTTCCTGTCCACCTGCCCATCATCCACCGTCCATCTCCATCTCCGTCTTCGCCTTCATCTTTGTTTTCGACAGTACCATTCCCATTCTCCTCCCGGCACGGCGCACAAGGCAAGGCAAGGGACCACGCGGCGCAGGCGCGTGCTGCAAAACTCACACGGATACACCAACGCAAATGCGAACGCAATCCCAATTCCTAACTTCCACGAGAAATAAGACAGGATTACAGACAAAGGATACGAAGACATACTGACGGGAAGTGTTGGGTCTGTGCTTCTACAAGTCCGGGTTCAAATTCAAATTCAAGTCCCAGGCCAAGACCAAGATCAAGTCTCTGAGAATATCGAGTCCGAGTCCAAGTTCAACTCCAAACCAAGTTCAAGGCCGAGCAGACCACGTCGAAGTCGAAGTCGAAGTCGGAAGTCCCTAGACGAAGTCCAAATCCAATTCCAGGGCACAAATCTGAATACAAGACCGACGTAGTCAGCGAGTCACTCCAAGTCAGTATCAACGTCGGCTTCATCGTCCACATTCGCATTCGCTCCAGCAATCAGTATTCGGCACCACCCAACCAGCGGTCGGCATTCAGCTACCATCGGATACCACCATCACCACCCGCGACGCCACAACGAGTAACCGAGCGTCCACCATGTCCTCCCAGCCATCTACCAGTAACGTCGACAACAACCCACAGCAGCCGGCGTCCACCACATCCTCCCAGCCGTCATCTGGATCACCACCAGCCACCACGTCCTCCCAGCCATCACCCGGGCCACCGCCGACCACCACATCCTCCCAATCCGGCCCCGACCCGGGGATCGGCAACCATGAAGTGGCCCCTCCCTCGCCGCCGCCGCCGCCACCGCCTCCTCCTCTCCCCCCACCGCCCCAAGAGCAGGACCCAGCGCAACCACCCATTCCCACGGAAACGGTCCACTTCCCACGCCTCATCCACCCGCCTATGGTCGTCCCGGAGTGGGAGTCCTTTTTCAACGACCTGGTCTCCCACGGCCGCATTGGCTCGAATCCCTACTCGCCGAGTAGTGAGCCCCGTCCCACCGACGCACGGGAGACTCAAGGACATTGATAGGACAGGACGAGACAAGACGGGACAGGACGGTAAGGACTTTCGACATGTCTCCTTTTTGTGGGAAATTGTTGTGCAAAACGTACGTGTATGAAAATGAAAAGGATTGGACTAGGCAAATGGGAACTCCGCAAATGGAGCGATCTAATTGGCGGAACTGGATCTGAAGCCTCCGCGTCTCTCAGACACCTTGATCGTTCCGTCGCCAGATGGCCACGATCAACTCACATGAGCGGGGCCAGGCCAAGAACATATTTTGGGTATTTGTACATGCTTCTGCAGTGCACTGCAATGAAGGAACGAATCATATTCGCGCCTTGACTTGGCCCGAAGTTCCTTTTTGCCTGCCTCCTGGTGTCTGCCGGATGAACCGCCTACCGCTTGCGTTAAAGAACAAGAAGTATTTTCAACTTGCCCTTTTGCGCACAAAACGCAGTGAGGACGGTGTGACTGACCAACAAGGCCAATGTCCCACGACCTGCCTCGCTTTCCGACCAACTGCACATCCCGCCGGCCAGATCCGCCTGCCATGGAAGCATTTTCTGTCCGGACTGGACCATCTTATCGGGCTGGTGGTGGGCGGTTGCAGTATTTGCCACTTCGCCAAGACTCTTGACTCTTGTCACCATGATTTAACCTTCGTTTTTGAGCATCCATCTCATCTATGTACCTACACGTTGAGTTCACTCGCCAGCCCTGTCAGCATACGCAAACCTTTCAGGCCAATCGGTATGCATATGCACGCTGACAAAGGAGACCCAACCACTGGACGACCATGTCAACAGGAGTGGAAGTGCAAGTCGCCGCAGCACGGCTTGCTCGAGCTCTTTCTTCCCTGGATGCGGCGGCAGCACTGCCGTTGCCCAGGTCTGTCTGAATTGCCTTCACGACAATTGGAGAGGGGACAAATGGTCCTCGCAAGGAAGGGGAAACAAGACCTACTCCTCTGGCCATTTCGATCAGGCTCCCGTTTTCCAATCCGACGGATGGTGATCCAGTTGTCCTGACTCCGGATTCCGCAAAGGAGAGATTGGACAGCCGACCTGCGGCCTGGATGAGTACTTTGGTTGTACCGTGAGTAAGTGAGCGCTTTGATCATAGGACTAGGGCTAGTGGGACTATAGTCTTACATTGCTCAACACCAAGAAGCAAAATGTACAACAGACAGCGGGACTGGTCTGGGAGGCCACTACGACCGGCTGCCCAGAGGCGATACTCATTGGCGGTCATGTGCCTCATCACTCCATTTTCGAGAAGACGTTAGATTCCTTCAACAAGAATTTTGCATACTCCCAATCCTGCCGGCGGTTCACACTTCCCTCGATATCTTACGAGCGGCGAAAATGGCCGCTTTTAAAGGCCGTCTGATCGCCCGCGCAATTTACAGCAAGACAGCGTCGACATGGATTGCGGTGAATGGAAAAGTTTCAGATTGGCATTCTCGGACACAGGCCAGTTATTGGGAAGGAACTCACTGAAAGGACAGAGGGACAGCTATCTCTGAGGACAGACGAACGCTATCCATTTGCGTCCTCAACGTGACAGTTCTCCGTCTCAGGGTTGGCGAGCGCCTGAACGAGAGCAGTCCCTCGATCCATGCAGCCACGCCATTCAAAGATGCTGGAGACCGCAGATCCAGAGCCTGTTCTGGAAGGGAGATGAACCCAAGATCAAAGAAGATGCCTGCCTTGGTTGAAACGTGCGCTGCGCTTCGATGGTGAGTGAATTAAGCTTCAAATCACGTCACGCCTCGACCATGCAAGCCAGGAAACGAAGCAGGATCTGTGTGTTCTGTGCGGCTCGCGAGGATTCTGATCCTCCGCCCACTCCCTGCTCAAACCATCTTTCTCCGATCATGAGCGTGCCGACAACGCCTGTCCAGCAACGCTCACCGTGTTGCTTCCCTGTCCCCGAGGGAGAGACATCAGAGAGATATGCAAAGGAGCTCGGCGACAATAGAGAGGAAACAGAACAAGGGGTTGCTCGGTTGCTAGCGGACATTCCATCACACACAATCCGAAGATCGAACTGAAGTAGCCAAACGTGCGTCTGGAGCCTCACATCTCACAAAGACCTTGATCAAAATTTGACTGGCTTCGATTGGCCTCGACGCCAGTTGGCCACGATCCACTGACATCGTTCTCCTTGCCCTGAGACAATATCCTCTCTAGTTCTACAGACATTGCAGCTATTGTGAAGGTGTCTGTCGAATGCCCTTCGCAACTGGCTGACCTCGAAACATTCATGTTCGATACAGTCATCTCCACCATTGAATGGAAGCTTTGCCGATGTTGTTCCTGCTGACAGGGAACTCGCCAGTAGCAATATTTATGGATCTGTCGAGTCTGTGAATGATTGCATCGACAAAAGATCTGGTGTCATTCACCCCCAATAAAAAAACCCGGTGCTTTTGTGTGTTTTGCATAAGAGAAAAGAGAGATAGAGAGCATCGAATGCTCGGAACTAAGATTTGCATTGCTGATACGAGCAGGAACGGGCGGTTCATCTATTAATCGGCTGAACTGAAGGGTCTGGCAAAAAAGCAGCATCAATAGAATCGGGAGCCCGGCACTCAACTGTCAGATAAAGCGAAAGACTCTTGAAACAAAGAGAATCAGCAGCCCGACACTCAGCCGTCGGCGCGCCATCGTGAGCCCGCTTCATCGCTTGAATCTTCCATTCTCGAGATCAATAGACTGGGTGTTGTCGCAGTGAGAGGCATCTTCAGTCCACAGATTCGAGCCCTTGTCGGGAAAAGGAGAGAGACCCCGAAGGAGGGGGGAAGGGGAGAGAGAGAGAGAGGTCTTTTTCGAACTTGCATCGAAGTTCATGTGGACCGATCACTCGGGGCAGGCTTGTTCAATATACGTTTAATGACCGGGGTGAGGAATCACCGGTGGCATCGCGGTGTAAGAGAAATCCAGTCGGTGACGGAGTGATCCGGCTCCAAACAAAGCACAGTGGAGGACAGACGGATGCGAAATGGAATTAAAAAGAGACAAAAACATCGGGAGATGAAGGAGAGCGGGAAGAGCAGAGAATGAATGATTTGGCAGAAGTTGAACTGACGTCTAACAAGGGCAGTCATTGGTTTGATTTTCTCGACAAGTTCGTCTTGACGCCCGCAATTTAGCTTGTTTTCCCTTGGGTTTCGTTGATTCAGCATGGTGACGGATTTATACAAATGTCTCAGTTTTTATTGGCTCTGTCGGAATGCCCATTCTATACGATCTCGCATAAATTGTTCAGTCCATTCCCCCTCAGTCCATAGAGAATTGGTCGTTTCATATGGACTTGGCTGATAAAAGTGGAGTATTTGTGGACATGGAAAGGATGCCTCGAAATCTGTGAAATCCCAATTTGTAGCGCTTGTGTTGTCGGAGAGATCCCATTGACCGGTCCAACACACCCGTTGACTAGGGTCCATGACGGTCGGTGTATCCTCGGTCAGTACTTGGAAGGAGGTGGGTGTCATTGCCTGTGCTAGTTGTCCTATGGAGTCCTCCAACTCAAATATATATTGTCTGCGCCGAAGTTCTTCTCCGGTCTGCCAAATCGGGTGGTTTTCTTGTCCAGTCGCTGCCTCGACATGGAACTGCTGTCCAAATTCTCCTTGGGTCATTACTTCGACAGGGGACTGGTACCCAACTGCTCCTTCGGTTGATGCTGTGACTCCTGCTGGATCCAAAGGTGGCATCCATGGAGCACTCAAGTTCCTTTTTGGCATTGACCCATGACACTTTTGAAGGTGACGATCTAGGGTTTGCTTCCTGCTAAAAGGCCGCCAACTGCGCTCACAGTCCAGGAACGGGCACGAGAAAGATATTGACAAGTGTAGGTTATGCACTTCCCTCTGATGCCTGATCAATCCGGCTTTTCGCTCAAATCCTGGGAGTTCACATCCTGGCTCGTGACATTTGTATGGCCTCTCGTGCTTGTTCAGGTGCCTTCTCCAATCACTGATAAGTTTGAACGTTCGGCTCTCCCCTACAAATGCGCAAGATTCACAGTAATACTGCCCGTGCTCATCAACCGGGAAGTAAAACTCTCCGTGCTCGTCAACGGGTAGCCCATTGAGAGTTCGAGGGGTCATATTCACTCGTTTTTGACAGACCCAATGGGAATTTCGAGTAAATAATCCCGAGGAGATGGAGGGAGCGAGGGAGATGGAGGGAGCGAGGGAGATGGAGGGAGCGAGGGAGATGGAGGGAGCGAGGGAGATGGAGGGAGCGAGGGAGATAATTGAGCAGCAACGACGCAGCCCACAGATGGTGGAGAATGTGTTGCACGAAAGATGGGTGATTGATTGATCGAGTCTAGGAGAGCAATGTATCTAGCGTGACAAACAGCGTGAAAAATTTTCAGTGCCAAGACATCGGGAAACCTTCCCTATAGGGTGCAGATTGAGCCTGTGTGGGAGATTGATCGAGAATGAGGACTGTTTGAGAGGCAGTTTACAGCAGGACGACTTCGTCACGGACGATCGGGACAGCAGATCTCAAAGATGAATTTGAACTGGAGGACTGGGGCCCCACATTTTTCGCAGGCTCCGAGATTGTGCGTGGTTCAGCCTTTGTACTAGATTACTTCCCCGTTCGCCGCTCAGAGGCTGAAACCATCGCTTAATAGCTTACATTGACGACGTCTGACACGGATCACTAGTTTCACACGCCGGTTCATTCAAATGGTACAGTATCCCCTTCCACCACCAGTCATCTGAACGCATTGCCAACAAATCCATGTCAAATCTCCCATTGTTCCATCTCAGCATTGGCCATATGAATCCTGGACGACAAAATGGTCCCATATTACTTCTCCGATTGTTCCATCTCCGCCTCTGCTGCTTTCGTTTCGTCCCTCATAGCCTCCATTCTGCGGAATTCTTGCTCCTCAGCGGCAGGATCTTAATCGTCGATTATCACTTGGACCAGGCGCTGAGATAGGTCTGGTAAGTTAAACAACAAGGTGATTAGCTTTGTCACGTGTGGTGTCACCGCGATAGTAAACTGGGGTTCCTTGGTGATATTGGAGTGGGACCTTATATAGCTGAGATAGAAACTAAGTGTATAGTGGATAAGACTAGACGCAAAGCGTACAATACCATAGAAACTTTCTCGTCTATATAGACCCGCGGATCTGAAGCGCTCTATGTTACGGATTCGGTTAAACATCGGAAGGACGGACGCCTGATACATCGAAGAATAATCAGGCCACCAGCTAAGAGATACGACTTAAGGAGTGCATCCTTATTACTAGCACACTCCCCACATAGGAGGCGCACTCTTTCCTCTTACGCTTTAAGTCGTGTATAGTATCGACCATATACTATAGAGATATCTTATATATACGCTTATCGTTAGATTCTGCCTACTTGTCAAGGAATCTCTAATACTCTTCGAACGTCGAGTAGCGAGACGTCGTCGCGCCGTACTGAGAATAGACGGATTAGTAATATAATGTAGTTATAGTATAATAGAGTACTTCAGAGTTCGGCGTGCACGTGCAACAACGCACAGAGGCCTGTCCAGCAGATCGGGAATCGAGAACGCGTTTCTGGTTGATACTGATAGACAACACCACTAACACCACCCAGAGGGGCAGCGGCTAGGGCTACGAACACTTAGTACAGCGGCAACATCGAGGAATAGAACAGGACTGACAAAACACTTAGGAATTAGGTAGACGGCGCTAAAAAGCCATAGAATTCATAATACTCTGCTTAAAACTGTAAAGAATAGCACGCTGCCAGCACTGTAAACTGTTCCGCACCCCTTCTCTGCCAGCCCATTTAGGTTTAACATGTGACTAAATAACTTTTCCTCCCTGTCATCGCTCTACCAGCCTAGCACAGCACAGCCACCTTACCTTATTACACTATAATTTTAAATTTAACGATATATATCTTAATCTTTAATTTATTTTTAATAACGTAATTAAATAGAATTTTATTTATTAGCGATTAAAAGAGATCTTAGATTTAAAGAGACTTTTAAGTATTACGTCTCTTACGTCGAGAACTTTCCCGACGATAATATTCTTATAGATAAAGAGTAGACGTAACTAGACTTAATTTACGAGAGTCTTAAACCGTTCTAAGCGATAATACTAAGACTTAAAGAAAGTAATAAGAATAGCTCTTATAGAGTAATTTAGAAGGCGCTATTATTACTAAATATACTCTATTATTATATTAAGAGTTATATAACTCTTTACGACTATTCTATTTGTGGAATATCGCCCTCTAAAGGTTTATATTAAACCTTTAGTCACGTGATTAAATACGAAGTTTAAGTTCGTATTTAGACCTAGGGTCTATGAAATCACGTGACTAGTGCGATATTAATTCCGCACTCTATTAAATGATTAGTCGTGCTTACTAATGTTGATTTGAAATCAACATTTTAAGGGTCTTAACTGTGGACACTTATTGTCTATATAAAGATCTTTACCCTCCCTAGGTAAATAGTTATCTTCAAGTTCTTTAATAGTCACTTACCTACCTATAAGGTTTACGATCTATATGAGCCTTACTATCTATACATTAGATAGTTCTCTAAGTCCTTTGAACACCTACCTATAAGGTTTACGATCCATATGAGCCTTACTATCTATATATTAGATAGTTCTCCGAGTCCTTCGAATAAATATATTAATAGTCGACCGACGTCTTTTATAGATTAACGTAAAGAAAACCTTTTTTATTAGTGATCTATCTATGACTTCTCATCGCTTCGTTAGTGAGTATTTAATACTTTAATAATATCTATAATATCTATAGAACTAGAGAGAGTATTCTTTTAAGTGAAGAGAACGATAATAGTCGATCGTAATCGTCTATCGGCGAGGTCTTTCGAGGCTATTAAATATCTAAAGCACTAAATTAATTAAGGTCTATATAAGATGTGATAATGAGGCTTTAAACCCACTCCCACTAATTAGATCGCTCCGTTTACAGAGATTTAGGGGTACTAGTTAGGACTATAGTTAGAACTAGTGTTAGAGATTTCTTAGTGAGTAGATAGAATCTAACGATAAGCGTATATATAAGTCATCTCTATAGTATATGGTCGATACTGTACACGACTTAAAGCGTAAGAGAGGAAAGAGAGCGCCTCCTATGCGGGGAGTGTACTAGTAATAAGGATGCACCCCTTAAGTCGTATCTCTTGGCTGGTGGCCTAATTATTCTCCGATGTATTAGGCGTCCGTCCTTCCGATATTTAGCCGAATCCGTAATAACTAGGGACTATAGTTCTAAAGGGCTGGGACTAGGACTAGGACTAGTGGGACTATAGTCTTATTAACGCTGTGCTCTCCACGCTCTACTTCTCTTATCGTCTTCCCCTGGCCTCGTAAAGGGCCTAATCGTAACATATTTAGAACCGCGGGACTCTTCTGTATGATATTTGAGGGATGAAGGAGTTCGCAAGCACATTGAGTACAGTTCTTTAAGCCTGCCTTAAACATTACCCGGCCGATGGAGAACAATCCTTGTCCAGGTATGGTTTTAATCACGGATTTGGAAGAACTTAACTGGGATGAATTGACTGAAGTGATTGTCCCCCCACCAAAGAACCACCTTTTTCGGGGGCGATATATTCTGAAGCTCAAGTCTAAGGAGTCGAAGGAGTCGTCGAGTTATTGATGGCTCACAGGAAGTTCCAGTTTCCAGGCATGTCGGAGCTGACGCAACAAATGCCTCCGCAACAGGAAGCCCTGGATTACCTTGATGAGGTGGTTAAAACCCCTCTAAATGGCTCAATTCCTTACTATGGCGGACCATGCATTTCACGGAACTATTCAAGTCTAGGTTCGAGTCTCTACTTCATCTGGGCAAGGAGCTATCACGAGTTGAATGCATTAATGGAAGCTCTAAATTTTAACTCGGGAGAGTTCAACTCGGAAGTTTAAAGAATTTATCCGAAAGAACTAAGAATGCAACTATCACGTGACTCTGCCACATAAACACACTAGCCCATTTCAGTACTAGTCTCGGTACCCCTCTCTTTCCTTTAGTTAGTCTCGAGTCCTTCTGACTCTTCTTTGCGGTCAGATAGACGCTTGATACAGAAAAGGCTTGACCACCAACCTAGACAGAGTATTGTGACCTTTCGGCCCGTTCGCTACCTAAGTTATGATAGCAAGAATCGCGATTAATTCGTTCGTCACAACATGTTGCTGATTGATCTGAACACACTGAATTAACAAAAACCAATTGTTATGAACCGCTTTGCTACGTAACGTGTCGCCGCGATAGTAAACCTAGTTTACTTGGTGATATAGGAGTGGGGCTATATAGCTGAGAAGAAAACTAAGTGTATAGTGGATGGACTATACGCAAAGGGTATAATATCAAGGGAACTCGATATTATTGAGAACGAGGTTGACTACGAAGGTAACTATAGGGACTATCACGCATATATAGACATATGGGATTCGTGATGCTCTGTAGTGCTCTGCTGGCTCTATTCAGCCTTGGGAGCCCGACAGAGCCAGTCATGTGGGCCCCCACGTTCCTTCGCCATTCTTTCTATGTTGGTCTTCCTGCGGCCTGCCTCGAGGCCGTATCGGAACACCTAGATAGCTTACAATCTCTCCGTGGCCAACTGATGTTATCTGCTTGACTATAATGCTCTTAGTCATACGGCTTATATCTCCTGCACTCTCCGTACCTAGTTCAATACTAACAAAAAGGACCTGTGACTGAGAAACCTAGCCCGACTAGCTGACGTAGGAAGCAGCTCTAACAGCCAATACTGCTACTCCAGGTACACTACACTATTCCTACCCAACGATCTACTTAATTGCCCTGGGTGCCGGCAGTATTACTTGGAAAAGTACTTGAGAAAGGCGGCGAAAAGAAAGCAAATAATTAGGAGCGAACCTGTCCCAGGACAGAGAGCATTGACGAGACTCAAGGCTCAATGACGGTCACCAGCCCCTGAAAGCCGCGAAGGTCTAGAGCAAGCCGAGCGACAGGTAAGAGCGGTTGACAGGCTGTGTAGATATCCACAAGTCGCAGCGCTCCTACCAACTCCAGATGTTTTCAGGCTGGTAGCGGAGTCCACAGCAGGAGAACGATCGGCCAGTTCA